TGTCATTTTTATATCATGCCTCTGTTGTTGTTATATGCTTTTGTTACTGTTTATTTATTAATAAATTTATATATTATTTTCATATACATTTTACTAATTTCCTTTCATCTCTCACACTTCTATTATAGAGAAAGGGCAAATAGCAATATTAAAATATCTCCGCTAATTCCCTTTTTAAAAAATATATATATTTTATTGATTTTTTACAGAAAGGAAGGGAGAGGGATAGTTAGAAATATCGATGAGAGAGAAACACCGATCAGCTGCCTCCTGCACACTCCCCACTGGGGATGTGCCCGCAACCAAGGTACATGCCCTTGACCGGAATCGAACCTGGGACCCTTGAGTCCGCAGGCCGATGCTCTATCCACTGAGCCAAACCGGTTAGGGCAATTAATTCCCTTTTAATGTGCATGAATTTCATGCACCGGGCTACTAGTGTGAGAATAAAATCTATGGAAATAAGCCCTAGACAGTGTTGCGAGGTGGTTAGAGTATCAGCCCAAGCACTGAAGGGTTGTGGGTTCAATTTCCGGTCAAGGGCATGTGCCCTGGGTTGCAGGTTGAACCCTGGCCCTGGTAGGGGAGGCAACCAATTGATGTGTCTCTCTATTTGTCTCACATATGACTCTCTCTCTCCCTCCATCCCTCTCTTCTCTCCCCCTCCTTTCCTCTCTTCCACCCTCTCTAAAAAGAAAAAAAAAATGGAAAAAATATCCTCAGTGAGGATTAACACACAGAAAAATTTCTGGAAATAGGAACAAAAGTAGACTTTTGTATGTCAAAGTAAATAAGTTAAATGCTGAAGATAGGAAAAAGGAAGAAAAAAAGGGGCAGCTTATTATCATGAATCTCTATACTCCAAAGTCAAAATGTGTATCATTTGTAATAATTTATTGAGTACCCACTGTAGAGGAAAGCCTTTTGCTTGCCCCTATACCAATACAAGTTTAAAACTTCTGAGGAACTTTGAGTATAATTTGGGAAAAAGGATGTGGTGCAGGGAAAGGTTTGGGAGAGCAGGCTATGACATGGGAGAAGAAATCTGCTGAAAACTAAGAATAACAGTAGTAAAAAGTACCAAGATAGAAACGAAATGGGGAGTTGTAATTATGTATCTTAAAATTTAGACATAATTTGAATTATATTCATTTTCTTGGTTAACAAGAAAGGGGGAAATACAGGGAGAATGACTCAGATTTATGGTGAGGATTTCTCTCTGAAATGGAAGTTTCACTCACATTTTAAATCAGGACAAATATTGGAACACTAGAACAGAAACAGTGGAATAGTTAGTTCTCCAAAGGAAATAACCTACAATTGGAAATGAAGAGGGGAATTTGATATTCTTTATTTTATTTTTTAATCTTCACCCAAGGATATTTTTCCATTGGCTTTTTTTTCTCAGAGAGAGAGAGTGAAAGGGAGAGGGAAAGACGGAGAGAGAGAAACATCCATCAATGTGAGAGAGATGCATCGATTGGTTGCCTTCTGCACAGGGACTGGGATTGAGCCTGCAACTGAGGTACATGCCCTTGAGTGGAATCGAACCTGGGCCCCTTCAGTCTGTGGGCCAATGCTCTACCCAGTGAGCCAAACCATCTAGGGCAAGAGTTTGAGATTTTAAATACAAGAAAAGGAAGGAATATAAAATAATGAACTAGAAACAAAAGAAAGTGCCTCTAAGAGAAAATATACTAAAACTGTGTTTATTTGATATCAGACATGAAAAATGTCTATAAGAAAAATTAAAAATCCATTTGGTCAATTAGCTGATGCCAAGTATCCATATGTAACATTCCTCTATAATTTTTCATTTATTGGGTTATGTACAGCACAGTTTGAGAGAAATGGAATATATTATAGGAAGATTTTGCCCTTCGTTCTTCATTCTTTGCATTATTCAATGCAAAGCTTAATATAACCTAGTTGTATCCTCAAATTGCTTATAGCCTACAAAAGGAAATAGGACATATGCATAATAACCTATTTGAAAAAGTTTAAAAAGTAACTAAAGGAGCTTACAAGGAAAAATGCAATAAGAGTCCTGAGGTAAGGCCATTGCAAATGGTTGTATAGGCTGTGCCTGCATCATCACTCTATTGGTCTGGGTGGAATCCCTTAGAATTGCACCATGCAAACCCATAGATAGTTGCTTTATTTGAAGGGAGAGAAAAATCACTAGCAATTGGAGAAAGGCTTCATTGTGCAGGTAATGGAGGTAGCATTGGTACTGAGGTAGATGTTAAATGATTGGTAAATTTTTCTTAGCACAGGTGAGGGGTAATCTGGATGCTGCAAATGGTACAAGCTAATTCTGAGAGACCAAGTATAGACTGTGTTCCAGACTCAGTTTGTCCAGTCAGACTCCAGTGGAGGTCACACATAAAGCGTTAAAGGGCTGAGAAGAAAGTGTGGGATCAGTTTGAAAAATTCCAAGCATAAGCCTTACACTCTACTGAGTAACAGAAGGAGCCATTGGAGGGCTCAGAGAGATGTGAGTGATACAATCAAAGCAGAGTTTTAGGAAAGTAATCAGATGTAGTGAAGTCAGATAACCGCGAGTGGTGAACTAGAATTAGGGGGTCCACTTAGGAGGTCCATCTTCTAAACAGATGTGCGAGAATGATGATCTGAACTAGGGTCGGGGCCATGGAAACAGGAAAGCCTGGGCCATTTTGGAGACATTGCAGTAAAAAAAAAAAATCAACAATTCCTAGTTACTGATGGGATGTGAGGCTCGACATTCCAGGGAGGTCGTAAGGGTGACATGGAGCCTTTGGGACTAACCAGATAGTGGTGCTGTGAAAAGAAAATAGAAGGAGCTCTTAGTAAATATTGACCTGTGGCCAAATACGAGAGACTGGAATTCAGAGAACAGTCAGGGCTGCATTTGGGAGTCTTCTACAAGGAATTTTAATTGAGACCTTGGTAGAAGGACTGCAGTCACCCAGAAGGCCCGGGGTGGTTGACAGTAAATAGCACGAGTTTGTAGACACTGGGTTAGCAGTGCTTATTGACTTACTCCAGCATGGTAAGAGTAGGAAATAGTTCTTATTATAATGAGGCTGGTAGAGAGATTTCCTAAAAGAAACCCAATCTGGAAGTTTCCTATAGATCTAAGCCAGAATGTAACAGATCCTAGAATTGGAGTACAGATGGGCATGAGTTGAGCAAGATGGGTCATTGAGCGAACAGTTCCTGGGAATGATTGGTTACCAAGTGGCAAGAATAGGACTCTTCACTAGGTATTTCCGAAGAATTTCTGGAGCTTTGGAGTTTTTGTTTTTGAGCTCTCTTTCTATAGACACATTGTAATGCTGAGGATTAGAAGGGATTAGACTTGGGTTCAAGCCTTGACTCTGAAGATTTAACTAGCTGTAGGTTCCTGAATGAGTCAATTGTCTTTTAAGCCCAAGTTTTTCACATATAACAAGGGGATAATAATACTCACCCTGCTTATTTCATGAGGTTGTTGTAAAAAGCCAGAGTATTATTATAAAAATTGTAGTTTTATTCTCTGGGAAAACAGTTGCCAGCTTTCAAGTTTCTTTTCTTTGCTAAATAATCCAGGGACAAAATAAGAAATAGATTTGTAATCTTGCTTTTCTATATTTAAATTTATAATTTTAAATTATTCATAGCTTTTACATATATCTATATACAATATATTCAGATATAGATATAGATAGATATAAATATAGGTAGATAGATATATAGATATAGGTATAGATGTAGATATAGATATAGATATAGATATAGATATAGATAGATATAGGTATCTTTGCTCTTCCCTCTTGCTTTTCTACCTAAACTTTATTTTTAAAATATCTGCTATGTATTTTGGATTTCTCTTAATGCCTCTTAGTTTTCCTTCAGGATTTAATTCTGCATTCCTAAACACAGGTTCTCTAATTCCTAAATTTCTCTGTTTGATAAATTGTCATATAATATGGTTTTTAGTATACTGCATTTAGAAAGACTGGGAAAAATACTGTACTTCTTATCACTCGCACTATTGAATTTCATACATAGCTTAAAACCAGTGATCTGATTCTGGGAGTGATAAATAAGTACAGAGATAAGGGGGGGGGGGAAATAGTGAGTAGGGAAGAAAAGAAATGCAAAAATGCACATTTATTTAGGGTTGTGGTTGAAGATAACATGAAGATACTGTCTATAATAAAAATAAATAGACAAGGAAGTACAAATATTTCACTCAAAAGTTGCAAAATCTGAAAGCTAAGTCCAAAGCTCAGTGGTCTAACACCGGCGCAGAAGAACTAAAACAAAGCCTGGCTTTCACGATTGGACAAGTACAGTAAGCGGTGCCCAGGCAAATGAACCTCCCAGACGCTTTGTCAGGATGTGGTGCCAGGATTTCTGTCTTTCTGTTTTCTGTTTGACAGGATTGAGTGAGATCTTGCTGCTGCTATTTCCTCCATTGGGAGAAGCCATTGCTAGAACCTGGCGGGCAGTCCAGATACTGGCACTGCGCAATGACCAGGAAGCTGTTACTGGCTGGGCCTCTGACCAGCTTCTCCACCTGTCCCAGCTATCTCTTTCATGCTACTCCATCTCAGTCCACTTCACCTCTCTCTAAACACCACTGCCTTTGTCCTTCAAGCCCTCTCCCCTCACCACCTGTCTGCTACCTTTCCACAACCTTGTTTGAGAAATTCAAGGCTACATAGGTTAAGAACCCTCTTACCACAAATAATAGAGATAATCTATGGGATGCTTTGGGTATGAAAGCCACAGGATATCCATTCATCCTTTCTTACATGCAAGAAATAGTTATTGAGTATTATTTTATGTCAGGCACTGTACTAGGTATTGAAATATGGCAGTAAGTAAAAAAGATAGACAAAGCTCCATATATTCAATAGGAGCAGACAAGCAATAAACAATAAAATCATTTCGGATAATGTTCAATGTTACCAGGGAGAGCATAGAGAGTGACTGATCACTGCATCTAGGAAAACATTTGTCAAGTCATTTTAGGCTGTGTAAGTGAAACAGACATTGTAATCTGAATCTAATTCTCTAGTCACATGAGTTCATGTAATGGGAATGAAAAGGAGGCAGAAAGCAGATATATACCATAATCTCTCTCTTTGTCTTTTCTCTCTAGGTGGGTAACAGTTCATGTTTGCTTCATAAATGAAGCCGCTTTAAACAAATTCATATTCTGTCTGGAGTGACAGACCGCGTCTTTTCCTGTTCTTGCTACCCATGACTCTATATGGATGATTCAGAAATTGGAACAAAGTGTTTTACTGTGAAACTGGCACTGCATTAATCATCTATAAAGAAGAACTTGCATGGAGCAGGACTCTACTTTAAGGACCTGGGGGACTTGTAGTGTCATTTAGAACCTGCAACTGATGTTGGGAGAGAAAGCACGTGTCCCAGACTGCACGCCCATTTTGCATGCCTCCAGAAATGTCTAATTGCTGAAAAGCCACATCGCTTTATTTTTAGTTACCACCTGCAGTTTGTAGTTATCTCGGTCCCTTCAAGTAGCGTTCAAGCTGGATAGTTGCGGTAATAATTTTTCTCAAAGGGACCTAGAAGAATTTTAAAGACAAAAACTCGATAGCATCAGCCACTGCACATATTCAAAGCAGTGGAGGAAAAAGTGATTGGAGTGGGTATCACGTCAGCTTCTTAGCCGCTAATGATATGGGTCTGATCTCGAGTCTCTTCCTGATGTGAACCACGCTCACCCACATCGCATGAGACAAAGGGGCACGGTTGGCTGGTACTGAATTGGAACAGTGATGCCTTTGCAGAGGGGAGAGTCCCCCAAAGAGTCATCGCACGAAGAAGCTATGAACACTGAGCAGCAGGGCAGTCGCCGAGGAGGACATTCGTCTCCCCTGGTGCGGGCGGCCTTTTCCCTTGACCACTGTCGGGTGTATAAATCATGCTTGCAAAATATATTACAAAATGTTTATATTCTAAAACTATTACAGAGTTATGGAAAGGGACTTAGGAGAAATTGCTGAATGTATGAAGGTCCTGTTTTTGATTTCCGCCATGGGAGAGAGTAAAAATAAATTATGATATTTAGTATGTAAGGTTAGGAAACCACAACACCCACATGCTGATATGGGTGTTGAAACTAGGTTACTTGGCTTTTATAAGAATGCAAGGAATCAGGAAACTCTACTTATTTATAGTATAACCACCATTATCTGTTTTAAAGGATCCATTTATTTAAAATCAGGCACTCTATATCCATTAAGGTTTATGAATTAAATAAAAAGAGAGCTTTATGTAGTTATGCATGTCAGTTTGCTATTTAAAATGTATGACAGCGTTTGTCATATTAAGAGTGAATTTGGCAGGAATTCCCAAGATGGACGTTGCGCTTTTAAACTAGAACTTGTGAGACATCATGTGAATTTCCCTTGCCAATTTTTTTTTTATGGTCAAAGAAACATCTGACTACAGTGGAAGAATGATTTCTGATGACTTATTTTGGAGAAGGTTCTCTTATTCTATCATGAGCATGCACATAAAGGAATCCAAAGCTTGCCATTATCACTTACTCCTTATAACAACATTATTGCCATGTACTCCCACCATCAGATGACCATCTTCAATGTAGTGATACAAAAGGGCATGAAAAACTGCTACTTTCCTTTGATTTCTAAAGTCTAAGAATTTCTAGTGTAGTTGGATTTTAGCTATGTTCAAAACTAATCCAAATACAACTTCAATACGTGGCCTTTGATCTCTTTTTGTACCAAAGAGCCCAAATGATTTCTACGATCCCTTCCTTCTTTAAAGTTCTGTGGTTCCTCAAACACTAGTCATTTTTTCTAAAATATAAGCCAGTGCTTTGGGAAGCTGCATTACCTTATTTAGGCCCTCAGATATCCCGTGGTATAATCAATTAGTAATAGAACCAGAGATCAGTTTAATTGCTGAAAGGACCTGTCTCTGGCATGTGACAGGGATTGTTTTGAGGAAAATAGACATAGGTGAATGCGAGTTACGTGAGTAGGTCATAAGTAGATTGAGAAAATTGATAAGTAATAGTTCGACTTGTTTCACCAATGGTTTCAATTTTCTTAGGCATGTGGCACTGCTGTTTAATGAGCTGGAGAGTACAATAAGTGTACTTTTGTTCTCAGCTAGTAGCTGGATTTTAACATTCAAGGACAGGGTCCTAATCAATGGAGTTAAAGAAACAAATTCAGCAACTTATGAAATCTGGCATAGTTGGCGAGGGGAGCTATATTCTGCCTAATTAAATGTATTGGTTCATTGAGAGGCAGATGGATTACCAATTTTTAAAACACTGAAGTTTCATAAAATTCATGAACAATAGAAAAATGCTGAACATTATTTTAGATGCTAGCTGCTTGGGCATTAACTGTGTCATATCTGCTTTAAGATAGGAAAAAATATATATTATCTATATCTTTGCTTTGTCTTATCTGGCATATGTTTGAATATTCTTCTTTATAAATCAGTGTTTTGAAATTGCCTTTTAAAATGATCTCAGAAGTCTACTGATTCTAAATTATACCTAAAGCTTTGCACTATTTTGGTAGAACCCAAGTTTATAAAGAATTGGCTTGCCCGGCCGGCGTGGCCCAGTGGTTGAGTGTCAACCTATGAATCAGGAGGTCACGGTTCGATTCTGGGTCAGGGCACATGCCCGGGTTGCAGGCTCGATCCCCAGTGTGAGGTGTGCAGGAGGCAACCAATCAATGATTCTCTCTCATCATTGATGTTTCCATCTCTCTCTCCCTCTCCTTTCCTCTCTGAAATCAATAAAAATATTTTTTTTTTAAAAAGAAAGAAACTGGCTCTGTGATAAACTGTTCCTGCCCAGTGATATCAAAGTGTTCCTGAATTTTGTATTATTATCTAAGGTGCTCACCACACTGCCACTTTTTAAAGAGTCAGAGACAAATTGGTTGTTTTAAAATACAATCATAGAATAAGTACCCTATCCTCTTTAGAAAGGATTAAGCATGTGAAAAATGAAAAAGCAGGTGTCCATAATGAAGTGTTTGTTTTAGTAACAAACACCTTTCATTGAGCATTAAAATACTTTGGAGAAATTTTGTGGCATATTTTGGAACTTTAATTCAATTGAAGTTAAATTAACAAAAAAAAAATTATTTGGAATTCATGGATATTTCTTAATATTTTTCTGAAGCTAGGTTTTGGTTTCAAAATGTAATTCCTATATAGGGCTTTTAGCCATTTCATATCTATGCTTCTTTAACTAAAAATTATTTTTCCAAAAGGCAGTTTCGCATAATGGGATAAATGTTGGGAAAAACTAAGAAACCTCTGCTATTAACTGAAACAGGTCAATCACCTCCCTCATTGGTTCTCAGTTTTGTAATTATCTATATGATGAACTCAGAGAGCTCACATTAGATGGGAAGCCTATTGATATATGACTGACAATAGAGCTGAAACTGTCTCATGAAAAATATCCAACTCTGATCTTCGTGAATAAGCAATTTGACCATAAAAAAGTCATTGCTGTTCTTGTTTGTAATGTAAATAGGGTCCATTAGTAAAAGTGAAATTCAGTCTCATGTACAGTGAATTGGATAACCATTTACACAGAGATGGCATTTGCCTTGCTTAAACGAATGTTTTTGGATCACTTCTGAAGAATGAACAGCATTACTGCATTTTAGTCGGGAAGAGATACTATAAGATGTGTGTAACATTTGGAAATGTACCAAATTAGGCATTTAAATCTTCTCATTTTCTTAAAAGCTAACAGCAGAAAATGTAAGATGCTCATAAAGTTTCTTGAATGCCAAAAGGTAATTTAGAATCCATTTGGAAAGAGGAAATTCATAAATTTCATTTTAAATTGGAAAGTGGGATAAGAATTTTAAAATAAGCTAGCTTGTCTTTGAAACAATATTACTTTTAGATTGGCATTAAAATATGAGCATTCAGATTAAAATTCTAACTAGTTGATTTATAGTTTCAGTTCACACACTGTATGGTGTTGCTGCTTTCCATGAACAAACCTGGAAATGCCCTTGTTTGTAAAGATAAAGTAATAGTACTTTCATTTCCTAACAAGCTATTGTCTTAGAAATAATCCACATTAAAATGGACTTTCATGATCCTAAAATGTTTGCTAAGCATTGTAAACTGATAACTGCCATCTCCAACTACATCCTTATGATTTTGTTTAAATAAAATTAAGATAACTGTTTAAACTAAAAACCATAGTATTTTTCAGATACTTGATTTCTGAGCTGTAAGACTAACTAAATAACATTTTCCAATCAAAATATCTTATTCTCCTGTGTTCTAAGGGGTAATGTGTGATTATAGTGTCCCACTTGCCACAGTTTTTTAAATCGGTAGACGTGAAAAGTATTCAGACATTTAGATGGATGCACAGATATATTGCTAGTTCAGTCAGATTGGAGTTTGCATATTGTAATGTAAATGTATGTCAACACTATTCTACATAGTTTTATTATGACTGAAGTTTAATTAAATAAAAAAGGTTGTAAAATGTGATGTGTATGTGTATATACTGTATGTGTACTTTTTAAAATAGGTATATGTCCTGACCTTTTTTATACAGGTTTGAATTTGAAATTACATTATATATACATATACTTTATTGTTCTAAATAAAGAATTTTATGCACTCTCATAAATTTGCCCTGTCATTTGCTATTTTAAGGTTACCACGTACATTCACAGCATGGTTCAATATTTAAGCTAAAATAAAATTTTTCTATGGAAACTTTGTCAGTAATCTAGATTTTAGTGTAATATGAACAGAAGAAATTAAGAAATCATTTTAATTCAATAATTATTTATCGGTCCCTAAAATATATGTTAATCAGGGAAGATAAAATTGAATTAACACACTGTTTGATCTCAAGAAGTTTCTAACTTAGTTGGAGTGATGATATGAAAACCACTGTAGATATAAAGACACATTGAAGTAACTACCTAAGTGTAAATATGAGGTCCAATTAATGTGCTTAAGGCATGCAGGAAAGAGAAATGGACACAGAAGAGGGAAGATCATGGAGAAGTTGATGTCTAGGCTAACACAAGTATGAAACAAATTTTCATAGAGAAGGAGAATTATGCCCAATATTCTTGAAAGCAGGAACTTCTAAAATTTCTCAGCTTATTTCCTGAAATCAAGCCAGTGTGTCCTGAGCCTATCCTATATAATAAAAGGCTAATATGCAAATTGTCCCCTTGGGAGTTCAACCAGGACACCAGGAGTTCAATCACTCGCTATGATGTGTGTTGACCACCAGGGGGCAGCACAGAACATGGCGGGTGACCAGCAGTGGCGGTGGGGCACTGAGGGAGCAAGGGAAGGATGAGGCAGGGAGGACAGGAGGCAGGGAACCTGATCACCGGCCAGGCCTACGGACCCTACCCATGCACGAATTTCGTGCACTGAGCCTCTAGTAGAGCATAATGAAACTTATAGAGAGATAAGTTTCCTTGCCTCGAATGCTATAACAAAGAGGGAAGACATTTTTCTTAGGGGCAATGGGAAGCCGGTATTTGTTTCTAAGAAGAATGGCAAAAATCAAACACCATTATGGCTTATGTGATTTAGAGAATGAATGATCATCCTGCTTAATCTTGGGTTGGTATTTGACTCTTGAGACCAAGACCCCAGCTTTGACAACACACTGAATTCCCCCACCATTTTTTACAATTTCTTTGCTGATGCCCCCTCCTCAGCTCACCCTTTAGATTAACTCCCACCAATGTAAGCCTAGCCAACTACAATAGCCTCCTAACTGATCACATGCCATGATTCAGCCTTTCCTCAATCAGTTCCTCACATTAGAATAGCTGTACAGAGAGTGAATGGAGACATATGATGATATTTTTCTCTGGTTAGAACACTTCATTGGTTTCTCATTTTCGCGATAAAACGCAAACTCATCTACATGGCTTCCAAAGCCCTCCTCAATCCATCTCCATAATATGTTTGGAGGATTGCTAATTTGTTTTTCCCTTTAAGTGATAAGTAACATGAGAGCTAGAACCAAGGATACTTATACCGGTGCATTCCCAAATTTCATACAAATATTAAGTTTAGAACTAAAATAAATTTTAATTTGAATATTTTATTGATTGATTGATTAAGGTATTACATATGTGTCCTTATCCCTCCATTGCCCCCCCATGCCCCCCCCCGCCACTCATGCCCTCACCCCGCTGGTGTCTGTGTCCATTGGTTAGGCTTATATGCATGCATACAAGTCCTTTGGTTGATTTCTCCCCCATACC